ATTGCGGAGTTTCCATTTGGGGCTACTGCAGGGGCATGTGTGCCAGAGGAGGTATCTGTGCCACCTGCTGAGGATGGGTAGTTGCTCACAGACACACCGTGCCCTCTTGTGACCGAAGGAATGGAGTTACTCAAAACACCATCCCCAGTGGGGACGGTTGTGGCATCAGACAGTGCGCAGACTGTAGCATGCTCGCAAGCCTCCTGACAGACTGAATGTTTGAGTTCTATTTTACTAATAGGAATGTGCATATGCTATGTTTTGAGGGGTACCTACTGAGTATTGAGAAGTTATATTTGTGACATTAGGATAAGTAGAGGTGTAAGTAATTGACACCGGAGTCATTTTCTTTTCAGGTTATGGACAGTTGGGGAACTCAGGAATTTAATGAGGAAGGAGTGTTATAATGCTTATGTTTTAAAAAGCAGTTTCAAGGTTTACCGCTAGGGCCGGAAATAAACGTCAGTGCCACATTCTGATGGCGTCCTCAGGGTTTTTGCCTTAGAAGTTGTGCTGTTAAGAATGAAAGAGCATTCTTGGACATCCTTATCTGTGGTGTATAAATTTCTTATCAAAGTTTGACCTTATATTTCTTTTTCAGGTTCTATCGTTTTTAGAAATCTGGTCCGGGGTTATTATGTCCTACAGTTCAATTTCTTTTATCAAGAACCTATGCAAAAATATCAGAAACGGGATATTTATAAAGTAACCAGGCAAATTCTGGATCTGCTAATTCTGCACAGGCAACTAGTCACCCCCAGGCTTAGTTGGCTACATTTAGCTTTTTAGTGAATAGCAATTCTTTTTGTTGTTCTTAACCTAATCAGCTGTTTGACTGCCGCTGCTCTCCGGTGTATGTTTTGAAGCTCTGCGGCTTCTTTGTTTTTCGAGTTTTATTCAGTTTTATTTGTTTTACCTAGTTTTATTCAGTTTTATTTGTTTTACCTAGTTTTATTCAGTTTTATCGGGTGTTGTTTTATTACTTTATAACGCTTTACAAACTTACCTGGATAACACCTTTTGTAAAGCTGTACCTGCCAAACGCGGGCTCTCGCTCTCGCCTTCACGAGATCGGCTGTTTTGCCGTCCTCCGTGGCGGAGGTGTGGGAGCTCGGTTCGAGCCACGGGCTGCTTTGTGGAGGAGCAGACGGGAGAGTAGTTTCGGCAGCTCCGTAAATTCATGGACCGTGAGGAAGACGAAGGGCCGTTTTACGGAGGGCGAAGGAGCGAAGGAGCGCTGGACGCAGCGGCTTCCGGTCCAAATA